GGACTGGGTCTCTGTTAGTCAACAGAGATTACTGCCACCTCTGGCAGTGTGCTTCCATCATGAAGTGTCAACCTGACTTGGACGTTGTGGAGGGGGTTATAATTCACTTGAGTAATAGGCTTTGCTATTTTTTTTTCTTGTATTTACCGTATGCAGTGTTACTTTCTCAAGCTTCACATCAGGTGAGGTTTTAGACCAATTGCATTAGAGAATGTTTGGGGAGCTCTACTCCATTGAGTGGGTTGTAGGCAGTGCAACCATTTCACATGGTGATGCCTAAATGTGATGGTTTGGCCAGAAGTATTAAAGGGTCCTGGAGCAGTTCTTGTACCTAGGGCATTTAAAATATGCTGCTGTCGAGAGGGGTGCAGCTGTACTATTAGTAGGCATGAAAAGCTTCCATGTTCAGAAGCTTAATTGCCAGTGGGAATTGGTCTAGTTAAAGACACTCTTGGGTGAGTGAGATAATCAAAGCTCTACTGTCTAAGAATGTTAATGGGCTTTGCTACCACAGAATAGTGACAGCAGCAGTCTTGTCATTGGTATTTTCATTTTGTGGAAACCCTCTACTGGGTGGGTTGTAGGACTTTCAGGAAGTTAAATTGGCACAAACAGTACTCCTCTTGATGGCAGTTTCAAATAAGTGCAGGACAATATGTTCCAAAGAACTTCAGATGGATCCTTTTTAAAAGTGGCTTCTCCTACTTCACTGTAGTAAAAACCAAGCAAAGGAGGCAATAGAATGCCAGAAATGGTGGGGGAAGAAAAGGGGTTTGCAATAGATTAGGAGAATAAAATGGCAGACACAGAACCAGGTCCATAAAAACCCCTCTAAAGAATGTTTGGATCACTTCCACAAGCATTCTGCACATTCAGTTTTGTTCACTGGATGTAGGCACCCTGGTGAGCTAGGAGTTGTAGTCCTCAATTTCAAAGAGGATGAAAATGGTGACTAACTTGTCGCTACTGTTAGGGGTAAACATAGGGGGTAGTCTGATATTTGAGGAGGAAGGAGGATGATTTTACAATATTTGCACATCTAGGTGCCTGGATCTAATATGAGTGGCAGGTGCAGTATCCTCTACAGACAGGGATACTACACTGGCTTTACAGAGTCAATGGGAGGAGCCCAGAAGCAAGACTTCAGCTCTGTTGCGGTTAAAAGGACATTTTTGTCCTTAACGCTTGCATTCATATAGAAAAGTGTCCATGTATTGTCAGCTCTCTGGTGTTACTATTCTACAACTGTCTAGATTATTCTATCATACAATGCTAAAATACCCACAGACACCAGTGAAACGGTCAATAAATCAATATTTACACATGGATATGTGCCATTTTCTAATCTCAATCCTTGCTCTGCTATGTGTATTTTCCCACACCTGCTGTATGCAATACAAATGAACCTGATCTCCACTGAAAACACCAAAGTCATCGGTTTCTCCTTGGGTTCTTTTTAAATCAGTATGCAAACCAAGGGCCATTTAAAGATTCGTGTTTCAAGCAACGCATTTTTAAAAAGTTAGGATTAGTAACTTCCTGTATCGCAAGACCATTGTTTTCATACATTTAATTGTATTCGGCATATGTATTTAGCCAGACCAAAGGGTGAACTGATAAGGTCCTGTGACGCCTAGCTCGGCACTCGCACACCCCTCAAACAGCACAAGCTTCCTCCTGGAAAGATACTGGGCAAACCCGATTCTGATGGGGACACTAGTAACCCCCCTGAAAGGGATAGGCTAAGGAGGGGGATAAAAAGACTTGAGACAGAACAGAGGGGGCTCCCGATTCCTACTGGACCC